TGGATAATCCGGCTTTCTCTGACGCCGTTCTTTCTCACCTCACCTACCAAGTGACTGGTGTTTGAACTTGTGGATACTACCGAAATCATTCAGCTGTAGCACCCTTTCGGTGCCTAACTGCCATGCCGCCCGAAGGTTGCACGAGGGCTTGGATACTGCCAGGTTGCCCAAGCCTAGACAGGGGAAGTCGAGGTCGGGTTCGAACCACGGACCTTCCGGTCAGTGAGTTTGCGCTCTAACCACTTGAACCATCTCGACCCATGCTATCGAAACTGGCTTCCCGTGTTCCCTCTTTCGGATACGCTGACGAGGCTGATCACATATTCGTGAATCTAGAAGTATCCCAAGGCAGTGGATGTAACTTTCGGATCATGAACTACTTGTAGACTATGTGACCTATGGGACCAGAAATGTGGGGCAACATTCTCTCTTATGTGACATATTCTTGTAGCATGTGAACTGATGCGTTACCAACACGCAGCCTCATAAAAATCATCGCACTGATATTCAAACTTGAAATTATTAGGGGCTTAAACACGTACTACGAAACTGGCTGTATGACGGGCTTGTTGTACACCTACAAACGTATAGAAAACCGAGTTGTGTTGTGCAATCATTCTGTGTACTATGTAGCGCGGTCACTGACCGCCAAAATGTGTCACTCATAACTAAACATTCTCGGACGACTTGTATCAATGCAGTCAACACTATCGACGCTGCAGCCGCATACGTGTACCTATTCATAACTGCCTGCGTTTCTGTGACGCCTGAAAATATCTTGCTGTTGACGGCGTATGGCTGTTCAACAAGGAAACGCGCGGCCGTTCGCGCCCAGTCCGTCCATGTCGCAATGTGCCTTGCTGAAACTTGTTATTCCATTGTTAAATGTCGTAGGGCTTAGCATGCTTTGACGCTTTCCCTCTCCAAGCTGACCAACAAGCCGTTATGAGGTATTTTAGCGAAGTATTCGTGAAGTATTCACATGAACCACTATAATGCTCGCCGATGTCAAGTTGGTAGTCCTCGGTAAATATACTGGGGACAAGCTTTTCTGACCGAGTATCGCTGTCCCAGTATAAAAAACCGTGTAGTTTTGGCACCCTTTCGGTGCCTAACTGCCGCCACGCGAAGGTTGCACGAGGGCTGGAATACTGCCAGTTTTCCCAAGCCTAGACAGGGGAAGTCGAGAGGCAGAGGTCATGTTCGAACCACGGACCTTCCGGTCAGTAAATTTGCGCTCTAACCACTTGGGCCATCTCGCCCTTCTGTCCCAGCATAAGGAGTTGTTAGTTTAGGGCAACGTCAAGTTCAGTGTTCAGTGTTTCATTTATCTCCGGTTGGGTTTACTGACTCTCGGTTTGCTCACCTTGAAGATGCTAGCTAATCTAGTTAATCCCGCTCCTGAAGCCTGACCCGCACAGCATTCATTATGCTTTGCATTGCTTTCAGTGACCGTTATCAGGGTTCCAGTTAGAAAGCACATTGCATAATCGAAAACCATCCGGGATTCTTACCGGTACTCACTTTTTTCAGGATTGCACGATTCTCTTCAGCGTAATCCGCGTGTGGACTTTGAATATTCTCATGGTAATCATGTGACGTCGCCCGTCAAAGGATATCAGTCAGTTAGTGGCACTGTGACGAGCTCTTTAAGCCTGAGCCACTCGTGACTATTCGCTGGAATCTTAACTCCTAGTGCATGCCGGTGATATTTCATCCGAACCCCTGTACCACCTTCATTGAGTACTATAAACGGCTTTTTAGCTTCTTAGTGCTGTTCTACGCTTCGCCTGGTCCTCTAACGACTGTTCCGTTGGGAAGCATGTACAAACTGATTCTTCTCTACAGCCGCCACTCCTTCTGTAGTGACCATTTTTGTCAGTTTGTTCTAGATTATTTTGCGGTTGTGATGAGGCTACTGGCCACACTTCAGCTAGCAAAAGGAAGCAGCACTTTCATGCGAATTGGTAGCGTAAACCTTCAGTTCACTAACCTTTGAATTTCATCCAGTTGACGGGATTATTAGGTTTTCGCATTCTTTATACAACTTCTGTCTACTTCCCGTATCTCTCGTATCTGTTTCGGTCGCTTGCGACTGTGGAAAATTATTGCTCAGCTGTAGCACCTTTTCGGTGCCTAACTACCATGCCATCAGAAGGAAGCAGGAGGGCTGGGATATTGCCAGGTTGTCCAACTCGAGAAGCAGAAGTCGGGTTCGAAACACGGACCTCGTGTTCAGTAGACTCGTGCTCTAACCACTGAGAGATCTCTTGTGACCGTGATGTGGTAGACATCTTTCGGAAGGAACATTTCCGTCGATGCTGACAGCATACTGCGCTCGTTAGAAATACCTTATTTCCGGGAAAAAGTATAGCAGCAAACGAGAATTCCCGTGTTGCACCTGTCACCTAGCTCTCGCAAGCAGCGAAACTGATGGCAAAGTGACTTTTTGTAAATCGATTGCACCTTGTCCCATTCGAGGACGATTTGTGTAAGCCATAGTTTCTATTTTTAAAGATAAAGTGCGTCCTTCTCGCTATTCCACTGGGCGTTGCAACCGGATACCATATGCTCCCAACTTTTTACCGAACCCAGATCACTGCATTCGCCTGTTTTGCTTACCAGTCCAGATGTCCACTTTGTGTTTCTGCGCGACCTTGCGTATGGTAAATTGCTTGTACTTTGGTAAATCTGCAGTCCTCTATTTGATACGAACATGAATGCACAGATAAAAATTCATTTAATTGCTTTTTGACTAGTTCTTCACAATCCGGTTGTTTTTCGGTAGCTGGCGGCAAGTGAGTGCTAAGAGTTTTTCACTTTCACGGTTCCTAATGGGACCTGATGATTGACAAAGCGTGTGGGTGGCTTTCTTACACACAGAAGTTGTCAGTTCTCCAGAAGCAATTCATTGTGTATTTCGTCCTTACTGGGACCCAGAATTTCATCGCCCGATATTCAGGTTTTGTGCTTCACATACTCTCGCACGACGTGTACGGTTTCAAACGGTTCTTGTTGGTTTAATATTTGTGCGAATTGGCGATTATGAGATGCTGCTTGAGAATCGCGAACTGTTAAGAACAGTTCTGACTATTCGCCGGTGGTTAGTTTCCTAACAAACATCCGACTTGGCAAAAATCATTCGTTGAAGGATGAGCGGTGCTATATCCTGTCTAAGTGCGAGTTAATCACACTGCTAATCAGCCGCTCGTGGCCGAACGGTTAAGTGTACAAACGTCTGGCCAGGAGGTCGCGGGCTCGAGACTCTCCGAAGTTTCATGAGATGCGCACTGCTGATGATTCCCAATAAGGTTGAAACAGCTGTACAGTGCTTCTCGGCTTTTCAGCATAGATTGGCTTCACTTACAGGACGAAATCTCCACAAAAATCATTCGAATTCATATAAAACCCGTATACAAGTGAGATTGGCGATCGTTCGGTTTCTAGGCTAATATTGCGAACTTTGACTCTGAATGAGAGGCAACCGAATTTTACCACATTTCCTTACTGGGTCTCACACAGGGCGCAACGCGTAGTCGAATAGCCCTTCACGTTCAGGCACTTCATGGAAAATACATAGCCTCCGATATTGCAGTTGCAGGCTGAAAGTAGTTCAATGTAGCGCCTGCTATTGATCAATGGAGCAGGTCATACCAGCGTTTTTGAACGCCAGATCACGAGTTACTGGACCGGCGGTTCTTCTCCTCCTTTTCATCATTGTTGATAGCAGCACCAACATATAACTTTATCATTGATGATGCCGTGCTTCAGATATACGGCAGCCGGATTGTTGAGGAGGCTTTGTCGATCTGCAGTAGCAATCCAGGCTTGCCGGCGTTCACTGTAATATATTTGGTTGTCCCCATCCAACTGTTACTCAACTTATTCTAAAAAGCGTTCAGCTGTAGCACCCTTCTGGTGCCTAGCTGCCATGCCATCCGAAGGAAGCACGAGAGCTGAGATACTGCCAGGTTGCCCAAGCCTAGACAGGGGAAGTCGAGTGGCGGAGGTCGGATTCGAACCACAGACCTTCCGGTCAGTAAATTTGCGCTCTAACCACTTGGGCCATCTCGCCCCCACTTATTCTACCAATCATCTTGCGTTTCATTCGGACATTTGCAACTATTTCAAGCTTTTCTTTCCTGAACAAATCTCCTTCAGCCGTGTCTCGCTGTGTTGCCACCCCCGGTGAAGTTCAGTCGGGGTGCAGTCCATCGAATCGCTTGTGCCATCGAATTCATATAAAACCCGTATACAAGTGAGATTGGCGATCGTTCGGTTTCTAGGCTAATATTGCGAACTTTGACTCTGAATGAGAGGCAACCGAATTTTACCACATTTCCTTACTGGGTCTCACACAGGGCGCAACGCGTAGTCGAATAGCCCTTCACGTTCAGGCACTTCATGGAAAATACATAGCCTCCGATATTGCAGTTGCAGGCTGAAAGTAGTTCAATGTAGCGCCTGCTATTGATCAATGGAGCAGGTCATACCAGCGTTTTTGAACGCCAGATCACGAGTTACTGGACCGGCGGTTCTTCTCCTCCTTTTCATCATTGTTGATAGCAGCACCAACATATAACTTTATCATTGATGATGCCGTGCTTCAGATATACGGCAGCCGGATTGTTGAGGAGGCTTTGTCGATCTGCAGTAGCAATCCAGGCTTGCCGGCGTTCACTGTAATATATTTGGTTGTCCCCATCCAACTGTTACTCAACTTATTCTAAAAAGCGTTCAGCTGTAGCACCCTTCTGGTGCCTAGCTGCCATGCCATCCGAAGGAAGCACGAGAGCTGAGATACTGCCAGGTTGCCCAAGCCTAGACAGGGGAAGTCGAGTGGCGGAGGTCGGATTCGAACCACAGACCTTCCGGTCAGTAAATTTGCGCTCTAACCACTTGGGCCATCTCGCCCCCACTTATTCTACCAATCATCTTGCGTTTCATTCGGACATTTGCAACTATTTCAAGCTTTTCTTTCCTGAACAAATCTCCTTCAGCCGTGTCTCGCTGTGTTGCCACCCCCGGTGAAGTTCAGTCGGGGTGCAGTCCATCGAATCGCTTGTGCCATCGTGCGCAAGCTTCAGGCTGCCCATGCCCTTCCTTGGTCCATGTCACTCGCTGCTGACTCAATTCGCTCACGTCATACATCGACTCGGTCCCAGTTTGGCGGTGCAAATCGTATCGAATCGTGGTGCGCATTCGACGCCGGTCGTTTTCCCCGTAGTGAACGCGACTCACTCAATTACAATGTTCCCGAAACCGATGCGCGTTCTCTCAGTACACAGTATTTCCCAAAACCCGTCAGTCTAAACGTCTCTATGGCATTTAACGTTCAAGATTCTTCCCAGCGTCCGTTGCGTTCCTCGGACTCAAACATGACCTCAACAGGCTTCGGCCGATCGATTGAACAAACCGTGAGTTCTTTGCACATCGAATATTTCAATTGCCCCCCACCCGGTCTTTGGAAGGCGTTTCTCCTCTTCTCTCGAATGATCACCCAACTGAGAAGTCACGAAACTACAATATTGGGTGCTTTTTCGTTGAGCAGTCCTACCATGAAGTTCCTTATATATCATGCCACCTTTTCACAACTTCCAGGTCATTGTGATTCTCCTTAGCGGCTTTTTTGTCAGGGAGAACCCGCTAAGCACTCTTGATTTCTTTGAACACAACACCACATTTGTTCCTGTTTTTTTCCAACTGTTTTAGCCTGACGATGATCGATTGGTTCCTTCCGTGCTAGTTGGACCGTCCCAGCAGACTTCGTTGCTCACATCAATGATCAGTTTGGACTCTCAAACCAATCTGTTAATCGCCCGAGAACTTCGCGGTCTCCCATTGGACAATTCAACCAAAGATTCCATACTGGCTGCACTCCGCGCTGAACTCAGTCGACCAAAGTATCGTTCGGATTTGTTCCATGCGGTTGGTGGTTACCGACTCTGCACCACAGACTGTGTGACTTCGCCATATTCTGCTAGAAACGTGAGTCCAATGAAAGACACTTTGTATTAATTATTAGGAGAAGGCGTGGCACCTGCACTTTTAAAGACCGGTTAAACTTGAATCCTGGCTTTTTATTTTGTGTCAGATAGATGAACAATGATCTTTTCTTCTCACCTGTTAGGTGGACCTTACGGAAACTGCACCTGTGGGTTCTCCGGTTATTGTCACAGGTAATGAGTTCGCACAGATTACGCGTGAGCCTCGGAGAAAACTTCAAACAGCATCAAATAACGGGCTTTCGACAAACCCACAGTGTGTGATTGCTGTGCGGCAAAGTGCGAATTGTCATCCTGCGGATACTGAGGATAAGCTTGGCGAAGTGATGAGCTATCTGCGTGATATGCTGAATGTACAGTTTTTATCGAATGTAACATTCCTAATTTTGCTGCTGGCCTGTTCTCTGAATATGTTGGGTGAGTGTCTAAACTATCTTTCGCCTCCGTCAACTCTTATAACACATCTCACATTTTTTCGCCATAATTTCTCCGCATAAACAGTTTGTTGGCTTCTTGCAATCATATATTAACGTCGTTCTTGTGTTGACCTCTGTTATTCGAAACGGTGATGCGTGTTCGGTTCCGCTATTAGGCTCAACATTACCATCTGGTATATGTGGTTTGAACCCGACATCTGCCTCTCGACTTCCTCTGTCAAGGCTTGGGCAATCTGGGCGTATCCCAGCCCTCGTACTTCTTTCGGATGGCATGGCAGCTAGGCACCGAAAGGGTGCTACAGCTGAACGATCTGGTAAATATTTTGCGTTTTGAAGCAGATCCATGTTTTTGAGAAATGTGAAACTTTGTATCCACACTGTCCATCTCATCAACGCTGACAGAAGACATACGCTGTGATATTTTAGTAAATCTTCTACTCTCTTCAGTCACGGAAGTAAGACGTGAAAATTTTATAAACAATGTTGAATAGACATTGATTGTTTGATTCCTCCAAATCACCTGATCAATTTCAGGGTAACCAAATAGTTTACTTCAGCTGTCTGGGTGCAGATTTGGATGGAGATGACCCACTCAGCTCCCCTGCAAATCGTACTGTATGCAGTACAACCCCCAAGTTTCTAGCGATAAGCGAAGCGCTGCTGATCAAATCAAAACAGCCTAGGCTCTCTGCACCAAAAAGCTGAAGCAAATCATTTGGTTACCCCGGCATTGATCGGGTGACTTGCAGGAATCAACCAATCGGTGTCTGTTTAACATTGTTCCTACTCTTCAATTAACATAACTCTCAACTGAAGAAAGTAAAAGAAGTGCTAACATTGGGTTGGCTGCGAATCCGTTCAAGTAAAGTGCAAATGCAGTGAGCTGACTGCCTATTCAGCAACTCATGTGTCCATTCGCCGTGCGTGTGGATCACACTTAAGGCTACCAATCCACCCGTATTTAACACTGGGCGTGCGTTAGCTGAGCGATCCATCAATTTTATCAGTTTGTTCACGCTAGGCTTTTAAGAAGCTCTGGTTACGTTGACATTCATTATTTCAGGTTTTCAATTGTTTTGGTGAATCAGGGTTGAGATCATCCTAGTATCGGCATGAAATCATCCCAGAAGATGGCCTGTAGTAACTCATATCGGTGATTGCTTGTTTTTGTTCACCCGTTTTGTCATTGCATGTGATAGCTGAATGATATGCGAATTCTTATTGGAATGAATCGTTGTGATCTAAGAAAACGGGTTATCGAGAGGAAGCCCACAAATAGTGACATTGTTCCAATCTACAAAGGCAAATCAACTTTCCTTGAGTCAGTTACCATGGGTAGTTTTGCTTCACCTCTGTTGCTGATGCCCTCAGGTTGCTTCAATTACTCTCGTATAGTTTCCACGTTAGCACTTACGACCTTCAAAATCCGTATGTTGATTCCCGAGTGCCTGCATAGAATGAAAGTGCGTTAGCCTTGCTCTGACCCGGTGGGACACAGTAGACGCTCAATTGGAAACGTGTCGTTAACACCTAGTGCGGCTATTGTTGATGATGTGATCAACCTGCGTAACATTCATCTATTCACTATCTGGGGCGGTTAGAAGCTGCTATCCTGGCGTCCGCATGCCACAAAGATGCGGACTGGAGTTTGCTGACCTTATAAGTGGACTTGTCAACTCCCACAGGGTATTGTCTAGTTTAGAACGTCTCTTGATATTTACGAGTTTCCCTTTGTCAATAATCAGCTGATGCTCGGATAGTCCTCGTTTGCTCTGCCTATTTGGCAGTTGATCATCATCATCTACTTGTAATTTCTCCATTTTTATGGGCCTCCGTGAAGTTGGCGAAGTAACAACTAATTGGTTAAGTCCAATGGAACACTTTCATCCACCAATAACAGCATCATCGTCAACTCCGTGGTTGTTTCAACATGCGTTCCTGTTACTGAACTGTTCAGACTTTTCACGTTATTCTCCTGAGCCCTCTACAGGTCCTCACCGCCTCTCAGTACAACCTCGTTACATAATCCTTCTGATTTATGATCACATCTTGTGCGCCTCTTGTTTGCCTCCAACTTGGCTATCCAATACTCTGTCCACTTGGACCAGTGATAGCATTCATGAGGCAGCCTCCTCTGTTTTTATAAATTTGTTTTGTTTTCCCCAGTTTATGGGCTGAACATACGCCGAAGTAGTTTTTGCGCAACACCAATGCCCAACTAACAATGTTCTCTGGTCGACTGATTAGATTTCTTTACAAAAGCTGAGAGTTCTTCGTCAACAATCCTAATGTAGAAATCGGATATTTTACGGGAAAATTCCGACCGTCCATTTGGCCTCATCTAACTGACAATGTTTCCACATGGATTGGATTTCATTATTTTGAGGCGCCCTCTGACAGTCCCGGCGGATGTTGCTCACTTGTTCAGAAGAATCCTGCAGTTTGACTCCTCAAGAGTATCAAACCGTTTGTGAAAGTGAAGTGGTCCGGATCTGTATGTTGTATCACTCAGAGTAACTCCCCTGTCTTGGATTTCACTAAAACTGAAAAAGTGGAAGTAATTCCACCTGAGACAGTGGTTAGTTCGTAGACGAATGGACCAAAGTTATACCCTCATGAGGGACCAACACGGGATAGGTGTCTGTACCCATCCTGAGTAACGTACATCTTCGGGAGAACTGGACACCGGTTCTCCGCCGAGGGTGTCTAATACGACGCTCAGTACACAGGACACAGATTGGATGATAAGCCAACTCGCGGCTCATCAGGTAGGTGTTGTACTGGCGGCACCTCACGCCATATTCAACTGGGCTTCAGATCTGGATAGCTACACCCATGCTAACCTTCCACCATCCGACCAAGACTTCCGAATCATGGGACTGGTTTTCAATTTCACATTTTCACTCACTGAAACCCCCTCAAATCGGGAGTTGACAGCGATTAAACATCCTGTTCTTCTCAATAATTGTCCCATCTGTATTTAAATTTTCCTCTTCTTTGCAGAGGTCTGGCTTTAGGACTCACTATTTCATGTAGTTCCGTATTTTGGGAAGCTAGTGAAAACCGGAAGATTCATTTGTGTGGTTTCAGCAGTAGGCCGGATCTTGATATTGTCTAGATATCCGACAGAGAACCTCATTTAAAAATCATTCATTCGAAGGCCCGAGAGCACAATCCATAGATAAATCCCTCATTCCGATCGAACGCGGATCGATCGTACTTGTTCGGTACCGACAGTTCCCTTTATGTTTCATTTTCTGAAGAAGAATTTGAGCCATCGTGTGGAGGTTCGCTCTCTGGGGGGAACATGTCTCCCCTTGTTTATTGTGACTAGTTGGCTTCATTGGGGGCACACTGAAGGGCGACTGAATTATCGCAATGTGATGTTACTTGTGGTGAGCGTTTTATTAGATGATAGCTGTCTTGCGCTTCCTTTTTCATCAGGCCTACCTAAACCCGAAGGACACCTTGTTTACCTTACATTTCTTGGTGCCATATGTATGCGTGAGGAAATTACTGGCCTTCAGACTAATCCAGAAAGATTATCGAACATTTCAAGCGTGCGAACTGAAGCCGAAAATTTATCTTCTCCTAAGGACAAACACCTTGCTTGAAATCAAGAACATTTTTTGACATATCATTCCATTTCACCTGACCGTTACCTAATGCTCCATCGACCAACATGTCCTCTGTGGAAGAACATTTCGGTTGGTCTTGTGTGTGTGTGTGTGTGACGGAAACTGGAACAGACAGTCACATGAAATGCAGCTTTGTTTTCTTTCTACCTTTGTTCTTCCATGTACACCTGACATTAGGGACTCGTCGGGATCATATGATTGCGTCCTGTGCGAAATGCGCCCAATTCAGTCGGCTGTCTCTCACCATACGGGGTGCAAATTGCCTCGTTGCATATTGGAATCCTACTTCAATCAGCTGTTTACCGCACTGTGTCTGTCACACCATTTCCAGCCTTTCATACTCCTTTTTTCTTTTCCGGTTTCAATATCCCGCAGTTCTCCTGGTTCCGTTCTATTATTTGCCACTACTGCTGAGCAGCAATCAAGGTCGATGTGATGACAGTAGGTCATGTTCACCTCCAGGAGTTTTATCCCACCCGATAAGTCCTCTTGCTGACGACTCAGCGCCTTCACTCACCCAAGCGTCACCCATCCCGAGCCCTCAATCAGTCATGCTTTCTATCGGATTGGCCAGTGTAGTTGGGCGCATGCTTGCAGGTAAGCAATTGAAACTTTCTAGCTGGTGTTAGCCCGAATGCGTTTCACCATGGTTCATTAATTCGTTAGGAAAGATTTGTTGCCGAATTGCTTTTTCTTGTTCATTCACGCTAAGCATGAAGTTTGGCTTTCGGCCCCTTAGAATAAATGCTCAACGTGTACAGTAGATTCCATGAGAACCAGTAAACTCTTTTTTCAACCTATCGGTCACTATATTACACAGGGTGATTAAATCGGTCGCACTGATGACCAAACGCTCATTTTTTGTATCGAGTGGATACGGTGTTCCAGCTGTTCACCCGCGCCCAATGAGTTGGTAAATGTTCTACTGTGCCTCATTAGTAAGGCGTAACGTCAGATTGACTTGTGAACCGTACCCAACCGTGTTTTCTGCCTTAGACTCGTGTGTATCAGCTCTGTGAGCTTGTGTAAAAGTAACTGACCTTCTACATCACTGGATACTTGGCCAACTCCTGTGAAGGTTCACAGCAACCATGTTTAGCCGTTGTTGTCGGACCTTTACATTACACAAGCCAAGAGAAGCGAGGTATTCGAACAAAGTTATCTGATATTGTCAGGAGACACTCATGCTTGCCACTCGAGACACCGCCCTCTAGTGTGGGCTTTGTTCTTTAATTGCTTCCAGTCTAACCTTGGTCGTGATAAAATACCTTTTCAGTTTAACCTTTATCTGAACCAGTCGTCCATATATTCTACCAATCTGTTCCTCACAACATTGGCAGCTGTCTACATAGAAAAAGGAGTCAACACTGGTCGTCAACTGTTCAAACGTTGCCGCTCTCTGAACGACCCAATTATGGTGAACAATGTGTCTCTTATTCTGTGTGGCTTATCGCTTGCGTATTTCCCATGTGCTGTTCGTGGTATTGCTTCGCTTCAGTATGAGCCACAGAACACGGAGCTGGAAGCCGCTGATGTCATCTTACTAAGTGAACGCGCGGGAAATTTTCGGTTGATGTTGTTCCACATTGCAGCGGTCATATATGGAATTACCAACGGTAAGAAGGCTTCCATCATCGTCCTCCTGTCCGCTAGACTTTGTTTTTCTTTAAATCTATTTTTGGTTTGCTTTTTTGGCGTGAAGCTTAACCAACCGATACAAGTCATGAACAACTGGGGGAAGCATAGACGATGATCTGCTCATGATGATCTTGAGTCGCTTCGATTTGGCCACGAGGCGGGGGAACTGATTTTAACTGAGCTCTGCACTTGGAACAGTCTCTATGTGGCTAGGATCCACACTCGCTGGGTATATTTCATTCCACTACTCGCCTTTGTGCAGTAGTATTGATGAAACATTTTTTACCTGCTGTTCACTCGAATGTAGTACTAGGTACTTCGTATCGGTTCATCATCGTGAACTGCATACCAACCAGCATATCAATTTAGTGTTTATAGGAGACCCAACTGAATTCCTTGTTTATAATGTTCTTCGAATGAATTGGTCCCAGCAGGACGCCTCATGTTTCAGCTGGTACGATACACCAGTATCACATTGCATTTTATAACCGTAGCACACTACTCATGAAATTACTGTGTCCTACTCACCAACTTCATGAGTAGTGTGTTTCGTCCATACATGGAAATCATTTTGGCCGTGGACCACCAGCCGCTTTACCAGCTCTCATAGCTACCGTATCTCGAGGTACTAGTTCTTGCTAAAACACTCCCAGTATTCCTTTCTGTCGGAACACGCTTGGATTTAATGTACGCTTTCAATGAAAGCTATAAATGCCATATTTCAGAGTATCATCTTAATGAAAGTCTACCTAACATGTCCCGTGAATTACCGATTAGAGGAGCTGCGATACTGTGAGGTTATGTAAGCATCCAGAAGCGAATCGGGTAAAGTTTGATAGCGCATGATCATCTGCGGCTTTCTAAGTGACCAGATCTCATGGAGTTCAGTATGTTCAAACTTCACTGGGCCTAATTCACCTTGGTGGTACTGCCGGGTAGTGCTGATTGTGCATTGTCTTGTGTTTCGGCCCTCATGGGTATGAATGCATACTTGTTTGTTTTCCTCAGCGTGAGTACAACCGAGTCCTATAGACTGCCGGACCCCAACATTGTTGGGGTATCAAGTTGTTTGCACGACACGCACTCCACACCACTTAGCTGAGTTCGACTCAGTGTAAACCTGTTGCCCTTTTCATTATCCCCGGAGATGGACCTGTATTTCTCTAGGACGCCGAACGTCTACTTTCCATGGGCACCTTTGTGGGTATAACTTGAAGAACCTGGTTTAGCCCTCAATCATCTATGCGCCTGCTTTGACAGGGTCATCTTACTAATGTTTAGGATAACATACAGATGTAATTGTAAATAACGTCAACTAGTGTTCTTGCTCGATTCTGGTGTTCAGTACATTACTCGACGTACAGGCTTGGTAAATCAGGGTTTTTTACTGAAGAACTAAATAGAATGTTCTGTGGCTGCCCTCGTTCAATAGCCCGACACTGGGTGTTTGTCGCTGAATGCCACAATCTACTGGAAGACTTATTTCGTGTTCTATCACCTGCCACTGTGTAGAGCTGTAGTTTCAAAGGCCGAAACTGCGATCACTCTAGAAACAACCCTTGAACAGTCGGCGACCCCTCATGAGAGATCAAAAGACCCTACTTACTCTTCGGGAGATTACTGTACTCGGTACTATAATCCCTTATTCTTGTCAGTAACTACCATATTCCCGGTGTACCAGTTTTTCTTTTAACGCTCTGTCGGTGAGTCCAGTGGAAAGGGATATTTAGATTTGAAGAGCGTTAGCTTTATTACATTTGATGTTCGCTACAAGTTATTTCTTCCTTGTTTTTTTAATCGAGGTTTGTGATTGATGTTCTTTGCACTGACAAACCTACCCTCTTCCATTCTTTCTCAGGTATATTCTTGTCACTACGTAGCCTGATATTGGTCGATTTGTTTGGCATCGGTCGGCTTACAAACGCGTTTGGCTATCTGCTCATCTTCCAAGGTCTAGCGATCATTTGTGGCCCACCACTGTTCGGTGAGTTTGGTGAGGTTGAACCAATGTAGACGGAAGTGCCTAAAATCATCCACTTTCTGAACCAGACGGAGCAAAAATAGTCTAACTTGGCTTTATTCTGTCCCGTATATATCTGGGTGAAAGGTCGTTGCTAGTGCATTTGACCCACAGTTGGGGGGGTCGCTGGCTGGACAAATGCAACCTAGTGAGACACAATCATAAAACTTTCTCAATTCCATTTTTCTCTGAACGGCTTTTGTTAAGAAATGTCAATCCCTTTGTCGATGCCGTCATGAACAAATCTTTCGAAGCCTAATTCATGTTTTTACGAATATGACTGCAACTTCCAACTGAAAGTAGTTGGAAAAATGATGCAAACTACATAATAGACCGATTTGCAAACTATTTTGGTTTTGCGAGAGACTCACCTGTAACCCAGCTGAATCTCTAGTTTGCGATGTTTCCAGGCAACTGAATGTGCTGCACCAGGCCGCCTCATGTTTCAGTCGCTACGATATTCGAGACATCGCGATACATGTATATTCATAACGCACTACTCATAAGGTTGCTGACAAATTTTCAGCAACCTTATAAATAGTGCATTACGAATATGCATAATAAACCCTTTCTTTATTTTTAGTCTTACGGAACATTTGAAGGAATCGATATTACACGCTGCGTTTGTAGTTCACTCTCAGGATTTCCATACGAACGTAAAACCAAAAAAACCATGGTTGTAGGGAAGCCCTTACAGTATCCTGTGTACAGGCGACTCAAGTTTATTCGTTTCAGAGAGACCTGGCTTGCTCCAAGATCACTAGAAGTTCCGCCACATTAGCGTCGATGGATAGTTGTCCCACAGTGGATCACTACGATAATCCTAGGAACTGTGGTGCATGAATGGAATCTTTCATTGACTTGATCAGGGTTACCCTGTTGCACAAAGTACTGGTACAGCCCACCGTTTCTCGTCCATTGGTGTCCTCTTCATCTATCTGGATGTCTCCATAAGTCTTGTTTCACGTTGTGTCTCTTGTTGGCAACGGACTCGGCAGCTTGTGAAGTTGTCTTCGTATTTGGCTTGTGCTTGAGTTGTTGCTGAAGCGGATTGGACTGCTATTCTTGTGGATCTTACGTTGATCACAAAACCGGTTTGGTGGTCTCTCAAAGGTCCTTCAAGTGTGCTCCCTTCATATATCTGTTTCTTGTTTAGGGCATTATCACTTTTGTTCTGCGTGTAAATATGGGTTTCTCTGAGACCTCTAGGACTTTGCCCTCATATTCCCGCTTGTTTAGTTCCCCAACGGTACTAACTTTATTCGCAGAGAGTGTCCCTATTGAGTCGCGTCACACAACTTCTCTTAGGACTGTTTGTTCCTCATCGAGCTTGTGACTTTAACATGCCGATGCTCTGATCATCATCATCATTATTGTCAACTGTAAGAACCGCTTACTTGTCGTACGGTGGTTATAGCTGCCACAGTTTCGTTCAACGGTGATTTGGGGTGGTGGAGTAGGTAGCTGCGCATTGGAAGCGGGAGCGTAAATACAGCATGGTCAGTGGACTGTCAAGTGGGGGGATTGGGAAGGGAGCTATGCATTGAAAGCAATAGCTTGGATGTATGAGCGCCATTGAGGGCGCGACTGGGTCATGTCTGACATTGTTTCCAACCATTGATATGGCCCGTCTCGTGGTCCCATCCAGGAAGACGGCAATTACCAGCGCAACTGAGTTTGCTGGTAATGGATTTCACACTTCGCTACCAAGTCATTGTTTGACCGCCTCTGGCTCTTCCACCCTTCACGTGGTTGTGCGAAAAGAGCCCTTCCAGGAAGTCGGTCGACTGGCATACGCAACACGTGGCCAAGCCAGCGCAACATGTGCAGTGTGATCAGTTCATCTATCGAGGGTGAGTTATTTCTCCCGAATACCATTCGACGTACTTCAGCATTGCTGGTACCCTACCGTTGTCTATCGCCAGCTAAAAATAGGCTTCAGGTGTGTTTTCCATTCCGGGGCTTCATGTATTGTCGGTGTTGATTGCAGTTGGTTTCTTTACTCGGAATGTTTAGCTGAACAGTAGGCATGATAGGCATAATAGTATTGAACTATTTCGAAATTCTGCTTCCATCTACTCTCAGGCAAGATGTTATCTTTGATAATTTGTTCGTGTGCGGTTATGGTGCTTACAAAGGGACGATCACTCGGCTTCACTCCTGACCATTTCTCCCTTTCTCATCACTCAATGCATTCACATTCGTTGGCTATCCCAATCGTAGGTTACTTCTGTGATTCTGCTTGCCAACGTCATTTGAACAGCAAAGCGCCAGCACAATCTACCGCAGATGTCTCAATGTGTGCCAATCGTCTGTCGGTCATTTTCTACCTATGTGCTGCCACGTTCGTGCTTACCAGTCTCTTGTTTTTACCACTTCGGTGGCTGGCTCGCCACAACCTATGCTGCCGCCTGGTCGCGACTCGCGGCGTCCCAGCGAATAGTCAACAGACTGCCGACCAGGGTTACGCCCTGGAGTCTGCTGACTTGAACCCTCGGACAATGTGCTACGATCCACAGGATACGCAAACGACGCACGTTTTTGTAAGCTTGTAGTTTTCTTATAAATTACTCATTTCCGTCGCCAATTTCTTCTACGCCTGACACTTTGTCTCTACTGAATATGAGGTCCATAAGATCCAAATCCAGTTTAATTAGCGAAATACACTCATTTGCGTGCCAATTTGGTTTTCAACGGGAGATTCACCTGGAAACCAGTTGAACCTCTCGTTTATTCTTAGCATTCCGCCTTATGTTTTTACACTACTTTCTCTGACGTTTGCAGCCAAACAGTTTTATTGAGGAAATTTCTATAGTTTGAGCCGACTCTTTAAGTCAGTTTCGCAACTCAACTCCCAGTGTTCTGTGCACGCTCAAACGATGCACTTGAACGCGTCTTTAAATCCATGTCTGGATTGATTCAGCCGCTAGATTTGTCAGTATTTTCCACTAAGCATGCTTGGAGCTGTGCGGTCTGATAATGCGAAGGTGAATGATAGTCATAATGAATGGGCAACTTATTAGAATCAGACGCTTATTAGGTCTGGTTGTAGATCAAGTGGTGTTTGGTCTGTTCACCGAGTTTGACAATTTGCTTGTGAACGTTTCGTCGTCAATCGAAGAGGCACTAGTCCGCGATCGCTGCGTAGTTTTTTCTCTTCTTGTTTCCATATAGTTTTTAAAAAGTACCTTGTGTACGCATAACCTGATCAGCGTTTCAGTGTAATGGTAAGTAGTGGTATTCCTAATCTGATTGGTTCGTTCGTGGTGTTTGCGTTGGTTTGGTATAGTAGTTATTATTCTTTTTGTTCTATCGCTCCTCATTCTGATTGGTTCACTTGCAGTTTGTACTGCGTTGAGGATCGTTTTCGTGTTCTCTGGTTGGTCATTTGACCGCCTTTTTTAGTTGTTTCTTTTCATTGTTTTGATCGATCCGTCCACAATCTGCGGCCTATTTTCTTGCGTCAGATTGGTTGCCCTGCACAGGTCTCGCACTTTGGCTTGCTGGCCCTTGTTCTCTTTGTTGATACTTGTACCTTCTGGTCCAATTATTCTGTCCTTTGATTTCGGACTTATCAGTTTCGTCTTGGATTCCTCGTATGGCTCGGAGTTTGACGCTTCAAGAGCTCCCTTATCCTCACAGCTCGGTAGATCGGGGCGATTTCGATTCGCTGTTTGTCGTTTCATCGATGCAGTACCACGCCGTTATAAGCTTATATTTTCTTCTTCGCTCCTGCTTACCCCAAATGTGTTAACATCGTTCTGGCTGGGGTCCTGTCCTTCCTAGTCTTTTTGTATGAAGACGAGCGAGATTTGATCATATCTTCTGGTAACGAGTTTGTATTCTTTGATCATAGCTTGCTTTCTGTTTACCCCGCCTGCTGCTTTCCACAGTCCCCGCATCGAATTTTGTAGGTTACGTCAGCCTTCCTAGTTGAATGTAGTTTTCTTTTTGGTGTTGACAGTACTTGTCTCGCTCATAGGTCCCTGAGCCACTATTGTACCAAACTGCTGGAATATTCTCGCGGTCGTTTCTGAAGTATTTTCACTCTTGCATTGCATTCGGGTACCCGAATTGGTTGAATTGCAATTTCTCTGTTATCTTCAAACGAACCCCTTGTTTGAACTGCCACTCACGCTAGGGGTATGAGGTACTTATTAAGAACTGTATTAACGGAATCAAGAACAGTGGAATTGTGTCCATCCAACTGTGTGCTGATGAGGTCTTCTCGAATGGTGACCAAACATGTGTGAGGGAATCGCCAAGTTCAGCGAGCGGATCAGCCGCCAGTTGACGGATCCGCGCTGCTGATGAAGGGAAGAATGCCTCCGCCGCGGAGTTATTTATGGGAAAACACCAACTGAACAATCACAGACCATTGGGTAGGAAAGCAAAGCTCTCATATGCCTCTTGTTTATAAAAACTGAGTATCCGTCTTCTCAAACGCGTCTTCCTGAACTTTTCTGGATACTCATTGACTACCACTCAAATATAAACGAATTTTACAAAGCGATTCCACAAATTCCGTAATAAATCTCACTTTTCAATAGACGCAAAAGCGGACTTATGGGAAAATCACCTATTACTCGCATGCCTCATCAGTAGTATCCACCGTTTCACCGATATTCCGACACATTGCCATTTATTAGGCATATTGGTTAGTTGATTATGTAGAGTACCATTATACCACTCAGTTGGAATTTTAACTTTACTTTCTAAGGTATTCATTCCCTGTGTATAGTGTAACTTGGTAACGGACCAAGCGTTCTAGGATGCAGTCAAATCGTATGCTCGTGGTCACGAGAACATTTGTTGTTTAAATGATTGATGCAGTTCATCGTATGAAACAGCTGTGGCGGTAATTTCCTTGTTCTGCACAACACTCACTAGTGGCAGTCGTTCCAAGATATGATTCCGTCTTAAGTTATGACACTCTCAATCTCGGGACAGATCAGTGGTTAAGGTGCGAACTTGTTGGTCGCAAGTTCCTTGGTTTGAACCCAATCCCGGTTGCTTCCGTCTAGGTTTGGGCAACCTAGGAGCTTATTAGGCCTCGTGATCTCTTTGGACGGCGTGAAAGCTGGATCCCAAAAGGATGCTACAGCTGAATGATTATTTTTTATTTATGATGGCACCTCCCTAGTACGGTCGGATTGTTCTGACCTACCTTCATGCATGCCTTACGAATGTCGCCATTCCACTGAATATTGGCATATTAATCCGGATTTAATTGGTCCTCACTACACCACTTCACTTTGCTTGGTACTATTGTTTTGCTCTGTTTGTTTGTTCCTTATCCGGAGACGGACTTATACAGCCCTCGTTAGCTGACACTACTGACTGGGAAATTTGTATCTCACGTGCGTTTTCGTGCACTTTTCATGACTATAGTTTAGGATGAAAAGGTGAACTCGATAGTTCCATATGCACTCTTCGGCGGCAATTGATTTTTTTGGGAATCAGATCTTAAACTCAGAGGTGAAATTTCAAGCTACTGGCCGTCTGGGGTGACCATGTACACCCAACCTTGACTGTCTAATTACACCAGCTAAGGTTTGGGAACACCAGTGGTGTCCTTTCTTAGCATGCTACTTCCGAACCACGTGACAGTTATTCATTGAGAGTGACCACCGCTGCTTTGTTTTAATTAGGGTCCAGTTAATCTTAGGCACAGCAACCGTTTGCTTGTGGATAGGTATTGTTACAGGTGAGACCAGGTTCCTGTACGCTTGGTGTGTCCCCTTCAATATGTTGATTCTAGCATATACCTATCATGTATAATCCATTGTAGTATCTGGTCCAACACAGACTTTTAGTAGGTAGGATGGGTCGTTTACGGCGAATCCGCAGATTTGAGGTATTCTCAAGAGCTTGTTCCGCTTTTGGTCAGTTCGCCGTTTCTTTTCCCTCACATACTACTCATAAAGCATTGCCTCATGATCATACTTTACTCTCATTCCCTGTTTTTACTGATCATAGCCTGGGCTGGACGAGACGAAAGCTGTGCCCTGAATGACCCCTACCCTTACGATATATGGAAGATACTCGTTTCCTTGGCCCTCAATACAGTTTTTCAAAACCTGGCTGTCATTTTCATCCTAATATGCCAGAATTCATCAAGCACCGTTTTACCTGGTGGTCAGCCTTCCATCGTTTTATCACAACTTCCCAGATTCACTGCATTTCATTCATTCATTCAAATGTAACTTGTATATGATCACAAATTCCGCTGGCCAGGTCATGCATGTTACCTGCTTGCCAGGGTCGCATAACGTTTCGATCTAGTCATATCTTCCTGTCTTTGTGTTTACGAGATATTATTGCATTTATAACTTGAATAAAGCATTTCTTTCCAGTTCTTCCTGTCTATCTGATCGGCGTTAGTGGTCTGTAGATGATATCTTTGCGAGAATCACAGCTGTGTTCGTGAGAGGGTTCCGATTTTTCTCTTCGTGTCTTTTCATCCAAGGTGCTGTAGTAACAGGGAAGCCGGACAGCGAGGAAAGATGTACAAGTTGCATTATGGAAATCCTGCAAGAGATTCCATCATACCCGTCACGTTTGAAAGTAATGCATTTAAAGTTAACACACAACGTCCCCTTCGATTAGGTCTTTTTTGGAAAGGTTGCTTGGTTCATCTCTGGAATGATAACTTTTGGGGACTGGTTAACGAAGAGCAACACAGTTTACCTAATAATAATAATAATCGTTCAGCTGTAGCGCCCTTTCGGCGCCTAGCTGCCATGCCACCTGAAGGAAGCACGAGGGCTGGGATACTGTCAGGTTGCCCAAGCCTAGACAGGGGAAGTCGAGTGGCGGAGGTCAGGTTCGAACCACGGACCTTCCGGTCAGTAAATTCGCGCTCTAACCACTTGAGCCATCTCGCCCCCAACAGTTTACCTGCTACCTCTATTTACCATGGAACGCCGTAGAATCACGTGACTAATCCATAGGTTCATGTACGTGTCGAGCTTAACCTGCCCATGACAGGAGGCATGACTTGAGCCATCCCCAACAGTTTACCTGCTACCTCTATTTACCATGGAACGCCGTAGAATCACGTGACTAATCCATAGGTTCATGTACGTGTCGAGCTTAACCTGCCCATGACAGGAGGCATGACGATCGTGAACTTACAAATCTCAAACCGTGAAACGTCGTTGTCAGGCGGACTTATGTCCGTTCTGGTGCCAGATTCAGCAACCCACTATCCGCTCGAGGCTAATTTCAACGAAATATATTGGGCGGGCTAGCGATAAGTCAGCATTGTGTACCGAAGAGACTAGAAAACACTCTAAGTACGTGCTGCCATGAGAAAATGGATATGCGTAGCTGATGTTGCCAGCAAACATTCAGTACACTACAAGCTGTCAAAAAACATAATTGTGGTCAGGGTACACTTTAAAACGAAAACGGATATAGCCAACGTTAACCCCATAGCTTGGATGGCATTCCCACTGTCTCGACCCTTATCCGCACTCGAGAAGTCGCTGCAGACATCTCGTCTCTTCTGCCTTCCAATTTAATTGACCTTACAGTTGTTCCCCCAGGTACCCCAAATTCGTAGGTATGGACCCTTATTTGATCCAAACGATAACGTCATTTTTGTCGGCTGACTTTGCGTGCCATGGTTAATCCTTGTCAAGCGAGTTTTTTTTGGGGGGAGACAAGTCTTCCGCGCGGAACCAAAATCGGTTGAATAACCATTGCCATTCTGGTGATCTACCTCTCCACAACCATGATACCCTTTCCGCGGCTCCTTTGATGGAAGCAAACTAACACGCCGTGATTCGTCGTCCGTTTAAGTGTGATATGATGTTCCGATTCCCGTGCTGCTAGTTTGTGGTTGCAACTGGAAACTTCGCAACAAAGCGTTTGATCCCATAAAAACAACAATGGGTCCTTAGGATTGTTTTCTCCCATCCACGTTGCTCCTCCGTTATCCCGTTCCTGGATTTATTTGCGCTTTTGCATAGAGTGAATTCCATTTACTTCTCTCTTTTCGGCGCCTACGTGTATGCCATGAGCGGACTGAGTGTCTACCGTATTAAACCGCACAGATTTCGTTTCGCTATTCTTCTATTCTCCCCTCACTCTTTATTGACTCTAACCTAATAACGCTGTTACAAAACGTCTCGCTTGTTGTTTTGAAACCAGGTCAACTGATCCTCGCACATGAAATGAATTGCAACCGAAACCTTCGTGGAACTTCATTTAGTCTTCACCCTTACTTATATCTCTTACCCAGTGTTTCGGCAACAAGTCTCATATCCGCTGCACTGAAATGCTATTGTATTAGTAGTGTTTCTTGCATGTTGTGGGGTTTGCGGGATGTGTATTGTTCCCATTCACATCACTCTCGTTTGAACAGTCGTCCTCCTGTCCTGGTGCAATTACTCTGGTGTATCCACACCAAAGAGGCGAAGCACTGGACTCGAGTTTCGCTCTTATTCGAGCTGATCAACAGTGCATGTCCAATCCATTTATCTTCAATTACTCGGAACATGTTTCAGTCCCTCGTTTCTGAGCAAAACCATTAAATTATTTATTTGCCCTCAAACCACCGCTTCTATTTTGTTGCATTTTTAAATATAGGCTTGGTCGGCCTTGTACTTCATTTTGGTTAAGGTTCGGTAGATGAATTAACCGGGATTCATCGTCCATTCGCTGCAGCACAACCGGGCAACTAAGAAGTGTTGTGCGTACGGCAAACTGGGCCCAAAGTTATGTTTGGCCCAAATCAATGCTACTAAATCGGCCTGACTACCTAAAACGACTACCTCTTCGGACCCCCCCCCCCCCGTACTAAATCGGCCTGACTACCTACCTAAAACGACTCTTCGGACCCCCCCCCCCGAGCGATATGATGAGTGCGAATACTTGAGCCTAGACTTTGCATGTCAAGGGTTACATGATCAGTCCTGATACAGACTTAATTTCGCCCTTCGTGCAGAGGACAATTGACGGTTTTCAAACAACTGAAGTTCACGACAAACTCCATCGGATAGTCTTAGTGAGAACATTTTCACTCCAGTTCCCGCTTTTCTAAGCTCTCGTACTCTACAAACTTACAGCCACTTCGCTGTTATTCAGCACAACCTCCAGTGGCGCTCCACTTCTGTATGCCATTCATGGGTTCGATCCCTTGTTCGTATCGGCTTGTTTCCCCACATTTCTTGCCACTCCAACAATTTCTTGTAAGTAGTTTTTAAAGGGACTTCTGAAAATAGGTTTCTCCTATTTCATGCCAAGGTGATGAGTCACGGGAACCCTAGATGCAAAATTCTTCGTTCCGGTCAACTGGTATGATTTGGAGCGTATGTAATTCAAAGCTGTGGGAACGGTATGCAACCAGATGGGTACTAGGTGAAATGTCATGAGGAATCACTGAGGTCCCCGGTTATTTACTTCATAACGTAAGGACTTCAAAACGTCCTGGAACCCTAAGAAATGAGACAGTTTTGCTTAGTTTATCTTGTTCATACGAAAGAGGGAAACACGCAGCAAGAAAGGGATTCTTCCATTTGCCATTGCTGGTCAAAATATTCTTATCCGGGTGGCAGACATACGTATACTAACAGGATGCATGCGAAAACCATGGAGTTCCTTCACACTTGTGTACAACAAAACCGCGAATTGGGTGTCCCGGTTTGGAAACCTCATCCAATTTTTTTCTCAAAACGAGTTGTCTAGACATTCATTTGTCCGAATTAAGGTTTCAACCAGAAACCTAAAGAAAGTGCCATGGAACGCTTACAAAAGGCTAATGCCAATTAATGATACAGCCATGTTACAACAGTCCAGCGAAAAGGACGGGGAATAATACAAAACGGGCCTGACGGTGGCAAGCAAAAAATTCGTGACAACCGTATTAGCAATATTTGGAAAGCCTTTGTGGGAACTAAATCATTTATTGAATTCCAAAAGAGTTTGTAAACGTGTTCATGACAGAGCAAGTCACAACGCCGAGATATTTTGGCAGTTGACAATAGTATGTTAGCTACGATAGAATGTTCTAAGGATGCTCATCCCGCCCGAGTGTGAACGCGGTCTCGGTGCATTTAGGCGGGTTAGAGCATGGCGTGATGCCTTTATCCTCTGGGATGCGGCTTTAATGTCCTTCTCAAACAAGTAGTGGAGGGCTTGCTCTACCGGTCTCAACACCAGATATTTATCAGGTTACGTCACTGGTAAGAGCGGTATCCATAATAAGCAGGTTATTTGGAGGCGGGTTGAGCTGGTTATGCTCTGATTCTACGTTACAGAGGATAACGAACTGGATCCCTAGTTTGCCGCTTCTAAGCACCTGGGTCCTTAAATCTGCTATGCCCGCTCTCCAGGCACCAACCCAATTGGTGTTGATTTGGGTTAACTGTTTTGTCTATGCCTTTAGTATGATATACGGGGGTGGAAATAAACGCAGGAGCTGCAATTATGAGTTTGCCCAGGTACTTATAAGAGGAGTGTCAAATCGGCCAACGGCGTCCATATTCGAGCAGATGGAGGCCCAACGTTTAGCGCCATTGTTCGAGCGCAGGTGACTTCTGTCATGATTCGGGCATCTTGTCCCTGGGCTTGCTCCCCTTTCTCGTCCCTAATTTGTGAGAAGTAGGCTAGATGTTCTTACTCCATTGCTGGCCGGACAAAACGTTGCATTTACCAAACTGGAAGGTTTTGGACTCCAGCTGTGGAATTGCTGTCCTAGGCATCCAGCAATTTTCATGCCCTGTCGTAATCGCATGCAGAGTGTGAAAGTGCATTTTGAGGTTTTCCTTCATGAGCGCACTTATGTTTCCTGTCGTCCGCACTGTCATAACACTCGCTTCCAGATGCGATAGTCCTCAGCTCCGCATACAGTCCTTAATGCCATCAGCATGGATTTCTCGGCGTTCCTGTTCATTTGTGCCCATCGTTCCAGTCTGTCTCTTGACCTCTTTGAGATTCCTTTTCTGTTCAAATTTATCCTTGGCGGAACCCAGCCCATTTATGGCTTTTATCATCCGCCAACGGCTAGAAATTCGAACGGAGGCGGCGAGCTTATTTGTAGCTGCAGTTTTATGCTACTCTCTTTATGCGAACGTGTTTCCAAGGTCAGCGAGAATGCGCCAGCTATGGTTATTGTTGCTGCTTTATGGTAACCGGGGCATCCCTTGTTTTGTGACAACAAAACTTTTCATGTACAAATGTGGCCTACAAACTAGACGAGAGCCTGTGGTTATG